TAAACATCGAACTCAATGGTTTGGTAATGTTTTTGTCGAAATTCACCCCGTTTTAACCCCTCAGTTACTGGTATAAGAGTTGTCGAAATACGCCTAAAATGATCCTTTGTTCTTTTATCGATTACTGCTTGAATTGTTTTTTTTTCTTGATACCCATTAAGTCTAGCGATTTAAAAAATGTGAGCTTTTTCATTTGATTTGCCTGTATCGCTAAGAGGAAGAGTTTACATCCTGTGAATCATGTGGTGAAAAGCGGCCATTTTGTGTTGATGGGAATGGTTTGAAGTGCTTGGTATTACTCTCTTTGTGTTCGTTGGTTTCCTATAGATTTCGAAATTGAACGAAGACGTTTCCCTGATGATGAGAAGATCTAAGAAGGGGAGTTTGCCGTCTCTCTCTGTTCTTCGTGAGTTAATTTGATGTCCTTGTGAACGTTGCTTATGGCCTCCAAAGTTTTTGATAAATCTTCCGTTTTGACAATGCTAAAAATGTCATCCACGTACCTATACCAACACTTGTGTAACAAATTCCTATCACCCAGAGTATTTTCTAGGTTAGCCGTGAACAATTCACATAAAAATGGAGAAAGCGGATTGCCCATAGGAGCATCTTTAGTTTGTTTATAAAAATTTCCTCTGAAAATGAAATAATTTTCCTCCATACAAAGACGAGTAAGCTTGAGATATGACCGAACTTTGTTTTTCCAAGTAGGATCCTCACGTTGCTTCAGAAGCCAGTCCTCTAAAAGGTCGATGGCTTTCTTTACTGGTGCACTCGGAAAAAGTGCTGTGACATCAAATGAAACCATGACTTCATCTTCCCTAATCTCTCCTGATGCCTGAAATTGATTTGTGAATTCCTGTGTGCTGTTAACTGAGCGAGTGGTAAAGGGTTTAGGCATATTTTGTAATTCCTTTACTAGCCATGTGGCAAGCTTATGCGTGGGGGATCCTTCAGTCGAGATAATCTCCCTCATTTCGTTTCCTGGTTTGTGAATCTTTGGTAAACCTCTGATCATAGGTAGAATAGGGTTTGAAACTTTCAATTGATTCGTAGTGTTGCCAATAAATGTGTTGCACTATTTCAATGTTTTACCCCCATGTTTAACCATGCATGGGAGGGGGTCAATCCTCAACTGTCTGTATGGGCTATTAGTAATTTTTTCCGTCATCCGATTGTCATAGTCCTTTGGGTCCAAAATCACTACTGCATTACCTTTGTCCACTTTTGTATAGAATACCGGTTTTGTTTTTAGTTCTTTGAGAATTCGAGTTTCCTCTTTTTCGGTTTTACCAAGTCAATGTCCCTTTCCGTTTTGTATTGTCTCTGAAATAATATTCCTGGCAGCCTCGTGTAATTGAATAGGAAGTAATTTATCGTTTTATTAATTGCTTCTAACGTATACGGCGTAAATGGATGCACTCCCAACTCCAATTAGGTTCAATTTGTTAAAAGCAGGTCTTTTTGGTCGAACATGACTTTTACTGACATTTCAAATTTCACACTTCTGCTAATTTTATGCAGCCCAATTACAGACATTTCTGAAATTCACAGACATATTTCGCAGACGTCTGAAAAAAAAAATGGCATCTCTGGTCCAGAACGTCCCTCTCTTACATCCAGCTGAACCGAGGATGACTTACCAGTGGTTAAATTTTCTCTATCGGTTACGCAGCCACCTTTTTCGGAGGATTCTTATCATTGTTGTTTGATCCATTTAACTCTGCATTTCTTCGACGCTTAGCTGAATCTGGGTTAAACTTTTTCTTTGCAGCATCGTTAAGCCGTTTCATTGGATATTTCTGATTAGGGGGTTTAAGGTGATGTTCACCCTTATTACCATCTTTAGTAAGAATGTTACCAAACAGCGACACAAGTGTTTCGTTGATACCATCCTCGAAATCGTCATCATCATCATACTTGTCTCCAGTTCTATCGCCTCTAGGGGTGACAAAGGCTGATGAGAATTGTCGCATGTCCAAATCGCTGGCAAGCGGTGACATTGTTCAGCATATGTAAATCTCCTGTTGAAAAAGCTCCATTTCACAATCACATTAAACAGAGATTTGATACGCTGCAGCTCCGGTAGTTTAACGGAACCCTTTGTGAAGTACAACGCATTCTTTCGGTCCTATCTTCTTTTGTGAAAATATGTTCACGTCTGATGGTTGGACACCATTTGCCTCTAGCTCAAACAGTTGTAGTTGTAGGTTGCTTGCTGGGGTGAACGTGAAGAACTCCGAATTCGATTGAAAAAAGCGCCTCGATGGCAGCATCGTAATAGTCCTGCTACGTCCCTGCAAGCTGTTTTCCAGATTTGACTCCCTTCAGATGATAGCTTGTTTGCGGAATAATAACAGTATTTAGCTTGGATATCTTTAATCTGAGAGAATATCGAAGTTATTCTCGGTTGCGACCGTTGACTGCACTTATTGACTATTCGAGGAACAGTCCATCGTTACGGAATCAGTGTTTGAATTCAGATTGACCTGGGGGAGACTTCGTTTAGGACGTTTGGCTTGTTTACTTTTGCAAACATCAGTGTTTGAGGTTACCGACGGCTAAGACTTAACATAAACAAGATTTGATATATAACGAGTTTGTTTCTGGTGTTGGTGATGTTTTTGGATTTTCCAGTTATCCTCCGAACTGGTGCTACCATCGAACTTGCCACAGCTAAATTAGTTTCTTCATCTCCAACCAATTTCAGCTCTTCCAAAACAAAACAAAGAATGTAAGTAAGCTTCCAGTATTGTGATCCTAAACGGAGCGAGTATCCTTTGTTAAGTCTCCGTGTGCCTTCTTGTGAATCTTTGTCTTGCCGAACAATCATTGTCATCAGCCCAGCCCGGCTTGAAATCTTCTCAGAAACCGTTGCCGTCTCGTCCAAATCGTTCGACACCCGTTTGCCACTTACTTCGGCCAGCCATTGATAGCACATGAACCGTGATGAATCGGGCACATATGGCGCGTCGAAATTCCATCCACTCTTCGATCGTCCAATGGCAACCACGACAGACAGCGAGCAGGAGTCTGAATAACAACAAAACATCACAAAACAAACTGCTCATTTACGGCATCACTGTTTTCCCCTGGCGAAATTGATTTCCGCTGGTTTCGCCACCGCCGCCGATCGCACAACGCTGCTTTCTCACCACTCTACTTCTGGACCACGGACGGCCACCGAACAAAAACCTACCGCCTTCCAATCTACGGCCTACCTGCCGCACCGTCGTCCTTCCACTCCTCTTGTCTCCTCCTCCTACCGATCCAAGAAAAGAAAACCCTTATCAAAATTCCATTATCTATTTCGGTTTCAACTTACCGCGCTACCAACCGCACAGACCCAGGCCCCGGCCGCTCTCGATCCACTTCACTCCACAAAAGGGAAGAAGAAAGCCTTTATCCGAATGATGAAGATGATGATGGCCTTGCCAAGAGCGCTTGCGCTGCGCTCTTCTGGTTCGCTTCCACCATCGTCCCCCGGTGGAGTCTTCGTCGGTCGTGGACTCGGGACAACTCTTCGGCGGGCGCGAAGGAACATCGAGACCCAACAGCAGATTAATTAGCGCTGATTAGATCGTTTCCCTTCGCGCACTCGCGCACACACACGTTCACTCCCTTTCCCTTAACACCAATACCATCGCACAGGATACGACCCGAACGACGGACGACGGTGACAAGGGAAAAATGTATCCAATCTCCTTCTGACGGTGCGGCGCGGATCCTACCCCGGGCCTTCACTGCTGCTGCTGATGTTGTTGATGATCGCGCTTTGCTTGGCCTGGCCTGGAAAGATGCGCGAAAGAAGCATTCTTGAAAAATTACACCCGTGCAAAACCGACATCCGATTAATTTCCTTCTTCTCGTTCGTCGTCAACGGCAAAGCTCGCTCAACTCGGTTCGGGTCAGGTCGGTTCTCTTCGCCCGAGAGAGACGAAGAGAGAGAGAGAGAGGAAGAGAGAATGACGAAGAAAATTGGGAGCGTGAGAGAACGGTGGAAGCGATGCGAGAAGGAGAGAATGTGCGGCGAAACTGGATAACTGCGATTTGATCGATCGTTGGAACAAGTGCAGTGCTGCCAACAACTGTATCCAGCCATCGCGATCAATCAGTTGATATTTTCATTGTTTTGCGGATCAATTAAAAATCTACACTTGTTTTCAAAATATACAATTCTGGGAGCTAGCAGAGCTTGACAGAAATTACCGAAAAACTCACAACGACGGAAATAATTGCGACTGTAAAAGGCAGTCCTGCGATCGTAAAACAGGGTTACACGCGAAATTGGACCGAAAGAAAGCCAGGAAAAAAATTGAGGCTTTCGATCGACCGATCGTCGTCTCGGAGCCGAGAAAGAAGAGAGTCCGTAATTTCGAAACGAAGCGAAAGAGCAAAATCATGCGGTAAAGATGATAGCAATCATAATAATTGATTACACGTATACCTCCTTCAATTTATTTATCAAAATCTTCACCCGTTCGAGCTAGGTGGAAAACACGTATATTGAGAAAACCGACCCAAAGTGCATGAGTCTTTTGTGAGATTTCTGTAATGTGCCACGAAGAAGCGGCGAAAGAGAATCACACCAAAGGCAAGCGCACGAGAGACCGAGAGAGCGATCGTGAGAGACTCTCAGCAGCTTCGCGTTCGAATGGCCGCTTTTCTGGTCCGATCTCTCGACTCTCGCGAATCGCGATCAGTTCAGTTCCGACCGACGACCGCGAAAGGCGCAGACCCCACGATCGTACTGCTGGTGCCATTTTGCTGCGCGATCACACACTCACTCTCTCTGCGGTGGGCTTTCTGTGCGCTTCTCTGCTCGCGCTCGATGAGGGCACACAAGCTCCAACTGTCCGAGTTTATTTTTTCGGTACGTCGACGAATATAGCCTAGTTCCACACCAAAAGAGACACAAGCACGCGAACCCCATAATTACCTGTGTCGCGGTCACAAACTCAGACGTTGTTAACATTTCGGTTTTTCCTTTTCTTTTCCAGAACGAACCGGAAGGCACGCCGGAACTACCGGCCGCCAATCGAGCGCTATTCCTGGAGAAAGTGCGCCAATCAAATACTGCCTGCCAAAATGGGGACTTCACCACGGCAGTGCAGCTCTACACGGACGCGCTGGCACTGGACCCCAGCAATCACATCCTCTACAGCAATCGATCAGCGGCCCGCCTCAAGCAGGGTCAGTTTGCGTTGGCCCTTCAGGATGCCACCAGGGCAAGGGAACTTTGCCCTCAGTGGCCGAAGGCCTACTTTCGACAAGGTGTTGCCCTTCAGTGCCTCGGACGATACGGAGAGGCACTGGCAGCCTTCAGCTCGGGTCTCGCTCAGGACCCCAACTCAAAGCAGCTTCTCGCGGGGCTTGTGGAGGCATCGATCAAGAGTCCACTGCGACACGCCCTCGAGCCCACCTTCCAGCAGCTGAAAGCAATGAAACTAGATCAATCGCCGTTCGTAGTGATATCAGTGGTAGGACAAGAATTACTCGGTGCCGGTCAGTACCATTCCGCAGTGACAGTGCTAGAATCAGCCCTCCGAATAGGGTCGTGTTCCCTCAAGTTACGAGGGTCAGTGTTCAGTGCTCTTAGTTCGGCCCACTGGGCTTTAAATCAGCTCGACAAAGCTATCGCGTACATGCAACAGGACTTGGCTGTTGCGAAAAGCCTTGGTGATACCGCGGGTGAATGTCGTGCTCACGGAAATCTCGGTTCGGCCTACTTCAGCCAGGGTTCCTACAAGGAAGCCCTCACGTCCCATCGGTACCAACTTGTACTGGCAATGAAGTGCAAGGACACTCAAGCCGCTGCAGCTGCCCTGACCTCCCTCGGGCACGTCTACACTGCCATCGGAGACTACCCGAACGCGCTGGCCTCGCACAAACAGTGCGTCCAGCTCGTGAAACAAATGGGCGATCGCCTCCAGGAAGCTCGCGAAATCGGCAACGTCGGTGCCGTCTATCTAGCCATGGGCGAATTCGATTCCGCCGTTGACTGCCATACCCAACACCTCCGTCTAGCCCGGAAACTCGGAAACCAGGTCGAGGAAGCTCGAGCTTACAGCAATCTCGGCTCCAGCTACCACTACAAACGTAACTTCACCCAAGCGATCACCTACCACGAAAACGTCCTCCGGATAGCACAACAGCTCGGCGATCGTGCCATCGAAGCTCGCGCCTACGCTGGCCTTGGCCACGCTGCGCGCTGCGGTCACGACTTCCACCAGGCCAAGCGTTGGCATGAAAAGCAGCTGGAAATGGCCCTGGCTGCTCGCGACAAAGTTGGCGAAGGTCGAGCCTGTTCCAATCTCGGAATCGTGTACCAACTGCTCGGCGAACACGATGCCGCCCTCAAACTTCACCAAGCCCACCTTACCATTGCTCGCCAGCTTCAGGACAAAGCCGGAATGGGTCGAGCATATGGCAACATCGGCAACGCTTACTCCGCCGCCGGATTCTACGAACAAGCCATCAAATACCACAAACAGGAGCTGATCATCAGCAAAGAAGTTCACGATCGCAGCGCAGAGGCTTCCACCCATGGCAACCTAGCCGTTGCCTACCAGGCACTCGGAGCCCACGACATGGCTCTGATGCACTACCGAGCTCATCTGAACATAGCTCGCGAACTGAAGGATACTGCTGGCGAAGCCTGCGCCCTGCTCAACCTCGGCAACTGTCTTAGCTCCCGTCAGGAGTTCGCCCAAGCAGTCCCGTACTACGAACAGTACCTTATGCTTTCGCAAGAACTCGGCGACGTCGCTGCGGAAGGAAAAGCCTGTCACTTCCTTGGCTATGCTCACTACTGCATCGGAAACTACCGCGAAGCGGTTCGCTACTACGACCAGGACTTGGCCCTGGCCAAAGACCTGCAGAACAAAATGAACATGGGACGAGCCTACTGTAACCTTGGCCTCGCCCACCTGGCACTCGGAAACACTGCCGGGGCTCTCGAATGCCAGAAGTACTTCCTGGCGATCGCGCACATGACGAATCACCTACCGGGTAAATTCCGTGCCCTCGGAAATATCGGTGACGTGCTGATTCGGATGGGTGACGTAGACGAAGCGATTAAGATGTACCAACGCCAGCTATCGCTGGCCAGGCAAGCGCGGGAGCGTGGCATGGAAGCTGCTGCCTGTGGAGCACTTGGATTAGCGCACCGTTTGCTGAAGAAGTTCGATAAGGCACTTGGATACCACACGCAAGAGCTGACGCTGCGACAGGAGATGGGCGATCTGCCCGGAGAGTGTCGAGCCCATGGCCACCTGGGTGCGGTACACATGGCACTTGGAAACTACACGCACGCCGTGAAATGTTATCAAGAACAACTGGAACGGGCGCAGGAATTGCAAGATTCTGCAGTCGAAGCGCAAGCGTTCGGGAACTTAGGAATTGCCCGTTTGAACATGGGCCACTACGAGGACGCGATCGGGTATTTGGAACAGCAGTTGGGAACTTTGGAGCAAGTGAATACACCTACGGCACAGCATGATCGTGCTAGGGCCCTTGGGCATCTAGGGGACTGTTACGACGCATTAGGTGATTACCATGCGGAAGCGATCAAGTGTCACGAGCGACATCTGGCGTTGGCGATTGCGTTGCAGAGTCCACGCGATCAGGAACGTGCCTACCGTGGGTTGGGAAATTGTTACAAGTCAGTTGGGAACTTGCAAGAAGCTCTAGTGTGTTTGGAGAAGAGACTGGTAGTGTCCCACGAGTTGGGTAATCCGGAGGCGAAGGCTGCGGCCTACGGTGACTTGGGAAGCATTCACAGTGCGCTCGGTAACTACGAACAAGCGATCAACTGCTTGGAACATCAACGGGATATCGCGAGAGAGCTGGGCGATCGAGCGCTAACTTCGGACGCAATCAGTGGACTGGGGGCAGTGTTTCAACAGATGGGAGACTTCGAAGGCTCCCTAAGGCTGCACAAGCAGGACTTGGAACTGTGTGAAAGTATAAACCACGCAGCATTGCAAGCAAGAGCTTGCGGTAATCTGGGATCAGTGTACGAGTCCCTGAAGAACTATGCGGAATCAGTGAGATATTTTGAAAAGCAATTATCATTAACGACAGATCGACTGACAAAGGCCCATGCCTGTTTGGCGTTGGGTCGAGTTTACCACATCATGGAACAAGTGTCACAGGCGGTCAGTTTCCTCCGGCAAGGTCTGGCGATCGTTCAATCGCTGAACAAACTTGAAGACGAAGCAAAGATCCGCTACCGCTTGGGACTGTCTTTGCTCGCGTCCGGAGACGAAGATAACTCCCGACAACAGATGGAAAGTGCGGCGCAGATTCTGGAATCGATCAGAAGTGACCAGGTTACGCCAGAGGCGAGAACTAACCTGTACGACCTGCAGACGTCCTGCTACCAAACACTCCAGAGAATCCTGGTCAATATGGGACGCAATGAAGAGGCTCTAGTGGCTGCCGAACGATGTCGATCGCGGATGGGAGCCGACTCGAATCAAAGTGCGGAAAATTCTCTGAATAACCGAAAAACCCTCCTGACCTGCAGTGAGTACATCTTCGATACGGTCAACAAAAGCAAAACCAACGTCATCTACTACAGCCTGGCGGGTAGCGAACTGTACGCATGGTTCCTTTCTCCGCAAAAGAGGATCGTACGGTTCCACGTGGCGAAGATCGACGAACAGACACTGCAGATGACGAAGAAACCCGTCGTGGGTGAAAACAGTGAAATAAGTGAAAGCCTGCTAGAACAGTACATTAATTTCGTGAGAGATAGCTTGGGAGTCAATTCCGGTAGTGTGCTGCAGGAAGGAGACGGTAGTGGATGGAAGTCTTCGAACGAGAATTTGATCGATGACTTTGCAAACGAACGGGCTGGATTCCTGCGAATGGTGAACAGGAACCATTTGCTCAACTCGAGTAACTACTCGCTGAGTTCGTTGTTCAGCTTGGGAAGCGTCGGAGGATCAGTGGCCAGCTTGCAAGGATCTACTAGGTAGGTGAAGGTTTCTTTTTTTTTGTAATATCAATATCAACGTGTTGAATGCTTACAGATCCATTGGAAGCCTTCAGGGTTCGACGCGATCGAGAAGGTCCAACATACTACCACCCTGGCAAGGACCGTCTTGTCTACATGTCCTGTACAACTTGCTGTTAGCTCCATTCGAAGATCTGCTACCCGACATCAGTACCAGTAAGATCCACGATTTCGTAAACTTAGAAATTTTCTCTACAGACTTTCTACTTTATAGCATCCCGAATCGGTCGACGTGAACTGATTTTAGTTCTGGAAAAAGAGCTGTACCTTGTACCGTTTGCAATTCTCAGAAGTGGAGACGAATCCGGAGAATACCTCTCCGAGCGATGCTCCCTACTAACCGTGCCTTCGCTTCATACCCTACGGCAGAAGAGCAGAACCAAGACCCGTGAGCCAGGTAAGTTTCCTACGCCAGCTTCTGCAATAACTATTCTAACCCATTGTTTCTTTCACCAGCTGAAGGCCTCAACAGTGCCCTGGTCGTGGGAGGCCCGAAAATCCCTTCGTCCCTATCGGAAACATGGGGTTGGAGCGAGTCACCTGCTTCCCTACAAGAAGCTGCCATGGTTTCGGACATGTTGAACACCAAACCACTAGTTTCCTGCAGTGCTACCAAGGAAACAATCGTCTCCGAACTAACTGCGGCCGAATGCGTCCACTTTGCGGCCAACGTCAGCTGGAAGCTGGGCGCTGTCATTCTCAGTCCCGGAGAAGTCCTCGACTCCCAGTCCCAGAAGCGATTCTATCCAAACTCATCCGGAGAAATAGAAAACGACGAAGACCATGCCGATCTGTCGTCATCAAACATGGAGATCCCTCCGCTGTCGGACTTCATTCTGAGCGCAGCCGATCTACTGGCAATGAAACTAAGTGCCAAACTGGTTGTGCTGAGTTCGTATCACTCCGTTGAACCCATCACCGGATCAGGTGTGGCAAACCTGGCCGGAAGCTGGTTGTTTGCCGGCACTGGAGCAGTTTTGGTTTCACTATGGCCCGTCCCGGAGACGGCAGCGAAAATTCTTCTCAGGGCTTTCTACTCAGCTCTTTTGCAGGGAACACGGGCAGCCAAGGCCTTGGCTGAAGCTATGCAAACGGTTCAGCATACGAAGCACTTCGCCCATCCGGCGAACTGGGCTGGGTTCATCCTGATAGGAGGAAATGTGCGGCTGTCCAACAAGGTCGCCCTGATCGGGCAGGCATTGTGTGAGCTGATGCGGACTCCGGACAAGTGCAGGGATGCTCTTCGCGTTTGCTTGCATTTGGTGGAGAAGAGCTTGCAGCGAATACATCGGGGCCAGAAGAACGCCATGTACACGACCCAGAAGAGCATCGAGAACAAGGCCGGTCCCGTGGTTGGATGGAAAGATCTTCTGATGGCCGTCGGGTTCCGGTTCGAACCGGCAGCCAATGGAATCCCGTCGAGTGTTTTCTTCCCGCAGACGGATCCGGAAGATCGCCTGTCCCAGTGTTCGGCTAGTCTGCAGGCGTTGCTTGGTCTATCGCCGACCACGCTGCATGCGATGTCCAAGCTGGTAAACAATTCGGAGATCGCCGATGAGATAATCGGTGTAATGCGGAATGTGGTGGCGCAGTTCCCGTCCAAGGGAATCAATGAGAACGAAAGCATCGATGTTCCGTTGAGTGTGCGATTGTGGAGAGTATCCGGATGCCACGAGCTGCTGGCCTCACTTGGGTTCGATTTGATGGAGGTCGGACAGGATCAGGTCACGCTGCGTACCGGAAAGCAGGCGAATCGTAGAAATTGTCAGTTCGTTTTGCAGTCGCTGCTGGCACTGTTCGGTAGGTTTAAAGGTTGAAGTCTTCACCTGAATGTAGTGTAATGAAATTTTCTATTGCAGATACTCAAGAAGCCCCCAAGAGCCTGGGAATCGAATCCAGTAGCAGTTCGGAATCTTTGAACGAAGACGCTTCCGACGATCCACAGGTCAAGGCCCCGAGTCCTACTCCGACAGCTCCGGAGCAACAGCGAAGTGTCTCTCCGGCTGGCACTGTTAAAAGCCAAGCCAGCTACAACTTCCCACGACCTCCGTTGCCATTTCGAAGGGTACCGTTTTTAAGTACAAGAAGTGCCTTCATCTCGTACGTCCGACGACGTGGCGAACCCGACGGAGGGCAGACGGAAACATCTGGACAAGTTCCCCTCGGTGGTCAACAAGCGCAGGCACAGTCGCAATCGAGTAACAATGGAACCAACCTGGACTCCAGTTTGGCAAATACTACCGATAGTGAACTATCCGATGGTTACACAACTCAGCAGATCCTCATGAAGAGCGATCACCTGGCGAAGGGACTGGGTTACTCTAGTCTGCGAGGAACCATCAAGGTATCCCGTCCTGGCGGAGGTGGAGAAAGTGATGCAGCTTTCACTCCCAGTCCACCGGTTACGATCCAGAACGTAGATCCTAACGTGTCCTTGGCCTTGGCTCACCAGACTCGTATCCGGAATCTGTACACAAATAATGGCATTAGCCACTTTTGCCATGAACCTGTCCGCGAGGGACACCACCATCAGAATCCCAATCATCGACGACCAGACAGCTCAAGTTCTGCCAGTTCAGCAACCGATTGGGAGGGATCCGGTCATGCTACTGTACTGAGAAGAGCCAACCAAGGTCACCACAATCTGCCACCTCTTCCACCGCCACGGCAAACCTTACCAATGGTCGATAGTCTGCGACCCCTGGCACCACTGGCACCAGTTTATAACAACATCAACGGCGGAACCGTTGGAAAGACCCAGACGAACGGTAAAGGTCTTAACGTTCTGGAATCCACCAGTTCGGATTCCGAGTTCGAGCGTAGTTTTGACCTTCCTTCAAGTTCGAACGCGGCTTCGATTAGCAGCAAGCTGACGAGCTTAGCCCACAGTTTACAGAGCATGCGAAACCGAAAGCTGAAGATGCAACCAACGCAACAACCTTCGCAATCACACGGCACTTCTACCATTACCCGTAGCAAGATGGTCGATCAGTTTGCATTCATGGATCGCCTCAGCTGTCGAACAGAGATCTCCTCCTCAAGCTTAGGTAACCATGCGGCACCTCCCAGGAAACCGTTGTCCACCCTGCCAGATGACGAGCGCACTTTGAACTTGAATGCCAGCAAACTGTACTTCAATCCAACCGAGGCGGAGATCATTCCTTTGACGGAAACGCCGGGAGACCTCGGTCTGAGCAAAGCTCCCACAGTCAGCCTGTCTTCCAGTGTACCCTCCACCAGTGGTATCTCCAAAGAAAAGACCACCAGCAAGAACATTCAGGATTCGATCCTGCGCCATATGAGCCGTGAGATGACCCCGACCATCTCGGAAGTCTACCACGAACGCAACATCGGTCTTGGTCTAGCGCCGTCCCTATCAAAACTTCTCCTCAGCAAAAACTACGAAGACTCTCCAGATATCAAATCCTCCGCAGCTGCTTCCATGCTGAACAAACCGAGCGCTCTGACGGTCGGCAATCTAGCGGAAGCGATGAACGAAATCGAAATGAATGCAACAACCTCCACCAAACTAGAGGAAGGTCAGTGCAACATCTGCAACAGCCCTTCCGATCTACTGTGCGGCTGTAGCAACACTGCAACGGTAGCAGCCGTGGCCGCCATGACTGCTGCCCTCGGAGCTACCACCATCTCTAAAAAGTCCAACTCGAAACCCTGGCTCAGCAACGTCACGCCGAACATCGTCAAGCCCGGTGACCTCACCACGGCGGACATCCTCGAGCAGCAGAAGCAGCTCAAGTCCACCGTCAGCGGTCTCACCAGCAATATGTCTTCATCGACGGAGAACTCCCTCTCGACGGTGGTCAAACGAGGCGGTAGCCCCTTCTCGGACCTCTCCCGTCGGGACGAAGGCGATGGACGAAGCGTAGCCGATTCCCAGTGTTCCGGCAGTTTCCGAACCGACATCACCGGATCGACGGTGACCACTTCCAAGAGTCAGCAGTCGCAAATTACGTCTAGCGCACAGCCAAGTGGAACCCAGCATGGCGGAGCTGGAACCTCCGGACAGCAACAACAACAACAACAGCAGCAGCAGCAACAACAGCAAAAGATCGCACAAGGACAGCCGTCCATGGCGAATCCCAATCAGAGAAGTAAATACATCATCGATACGTAGGTCATTGGCGATCTGAACGAAACTGTAAATATTCAAAGCTTGCAAAAGGCTACAATTGTGACGTACATGATAGGTTTAAATAATCCTTAGGTCCTTATCTGCTCATCTTTTAGCGTAAGCGTTGTAGAATAGGAATTTTAACTTGTTTTTAGTCTATCTAACTGAGACAACGAACTGATTAGGTAAAGTGGTTTTATGCTAGCTGAAATTCGAATAATGGTAAGGAGTTTAGAAACTATCGGAAGCCGATATGAGATTACTATAAAGCTATTTCTACGGTACGCGTCGTGACAAGGGCCTTGAACAATGTAAAAATCGGCCTGCCTACAAACCTTGGTTACAATACTCTTTGCTAGGATAAGGTACTTACATAGATAGTGAATTGAATGAATTTACGGTTTTAATGCATTTTTAACGTAAATAATTGTATAATTTATATTGAATAGCTTTCTAATGAATAAATGGTTTTATGCAACTAAACTGAACTGGATTCTGTTGGAGAAAGAAATTATCAAATTATTATAATGTTCATATATTTTTCAACCTTAAGACCTTCTCCGATTTGCATACTTGTGTGTTATGGGCAATCATTCACATGTTTACAAAAATTCGGTCATTTTGGATCTTGTAATTTATGACGTTATTTCTGTTAAAATTATGATTTTACATTGTTTTAACATTTCAATTGATTAGCCTACCAGGCTCTTCATCTTTATTTAATTTGATATTCTAATTTACGTATTCACGTTTTTCAACTAGTTTACAGAATACCCCTTTGGGGTTCATTTTGGTTGAATTGAAAAAAAATAATTTGATAACTTACCTAATTAGCAAGATCGCGTTTAATCTGGTGATTTGATCTTAGGCAGGCGTCTCTGAACCTTTCGAGGATGAGCGTACTCCGCTACTCTAGTTTCTAAAGACCAGCCAGGCGGTGGATCTCTCAGAATTTCGAGTATGCGGGGGACAGTTGAGGATCATCCTAAGGTACTTGTTCGGGATCCTTTGAAGCTATGGCACTTAGCACAGCTCTCCCAGGTTTGCGTTCTGTACTCATTGTACATTGTACATTGTACTCAAACATTGACAAAATACCACCACCCGGAAGGGGAGGACCGGAAACATGGCTCAATTATCGAACAATTTCAAACTATGTCTTTGGTGCTGGCTACGAAATATTTCGCTGCGATCGAAACACGAATAATAGTAGGAAAACTACTGAGGGAGGCATCCTTATCGCAGTTAATTCCAAACTGAAAGCAGAAGTTATCGAGGACGATTCCTGAAACGCGGTTGAACAAGTGTGGGTGGCTATTCAACTTGGTGATCGTCAATTGCTTCTCGGTGCAGTGTACATCCCTCCAGATCGAACCCGTGACTTGGAGCTTATTGACGCACATTGTCGATCCGTCTTGGTCGCTTCAGACAAAGCAGGCCCTTCCGACGAAGTTATTGTTCTTGGCGATTTTAACCTATCGGACATTGCATGGACTCCAACCCATAGTGGATTCTTTTGTCCTGATCACGAGCGTTCACCTTTCCACGTAGGAACCATCCAGCTCCTGGACAGTTATAGTACCGTAATTCTGTCACAATTCCTGTTGAATGAAAACAACCGCACCCTGGATCTCTGCTTTGTGAGTGCTCGTGATACAGCTCCTTTCCTCTCCACGGCACCCGAACCTTTAGTCAAGGAAGTGCATCATCACCCTGCTTTAGTTATCGTGATCGAAAATAATACTGTCCATGATTTTACCAGCACTCCAAAGCTTACCATCGCAGTATTGTCCATGTGCTGTCTAACCTAGATTGGGAGCATATTCTAGATCTTGTAGACGTCAACATTGCTGCACAAACCTTTTCTCACGTCTTGGCATATGTCATTGAAAGACACGTTTCGAAAAAGATCATCCATATCGACTCTCGCGTCCCGTGGATGACGAAAGATCTTCGTTCGTTGAAAAGAACTAAGAAGGCTGCTCTCAGAAGATTTACTTAACTCCGCACACTGCCGCTTGACTGCTACTATGTCAGACTCAACCACGAGTAAAGGGTGTCCACGATGAAATTGCCACACTAAGAAATTTCTCTAACTTTTTAACCGTTGGGTAGAATTTAATGAAAATTTGGGTGGATTTAGTTCATAGTGCATTATTTACATCCTGCAAGTTTTAAAGTCCTGTGATCAAAACTCGCGGAAATGGAGTCGAAAGAACAGCTCGTGCGTGATAAAATCTTGCGCATTCATCACGAGAACAAGGATCTCTCGCATCGTTCCATCGCTAAAACGTTGGGAATCGCGAATTCCACGGTGTCGCGAGTGATTAAGCGGTTCGAGGAACGGTTGACCACCGATCGGAAGCCCAGAAGTGATGGAAAAAGTATTCCGTACAACACCAAAAATCACAACCGCGTAGTTGGGGCCTTCAACCGAAATCCGAACGCCTCCGTTAGGGATGTGGCTAAGAAGCTGCACCTAAGCCGAAGTTTTGTCCAGAAGGCCAAAACTAAGGCTGGGCTTCGAACGTTCAAGGTACAAAAGGCCCCTAATCGCGACGAGAAGCAGAACAAGTCCGCCAAAACCCGTGCCAGGAAGTTGTACCTCAACATGCTGACGAAAGTTGAATGCTGCATCATGGACGACGAAACATATGTGAAGGCCGACTTCAAACAGATCCCCGGCAACCTGTTTTTCACGGCCAAGGATAAGTTCAGCGTTCCGGAGCATGTCCGCACTCAGAAGATGTCCAAATTTGCGAAGAAATTCCTGGTTTGGCAATCCATCTGCACGTGCGGGAAGCGGAGTGCACCTTTCGTGACCCAGGACACGATGAACGGACAGGTGTACATAAAAGAGTGCCTCCAGAAGCGGCTGCTTCTTCTCCTGAAGGCCCACAACGTCCCAACAATCTTCTGGCCGGATTTGGCCTCATGCCACTACTCCAAGGACGTGCTGAAGTGGTATGCGGACAATAAGGTCAATTTCGTGCCGAAAATGTTCAACCCTCCCAACACTCCGGAGCTCCGCCCCATCGAGAAGTACTGGGCGATTATGAAGCAGCACCTTCTTAAACGACCTAAGGTAGTGAAGACAGTCGAGGAACTGAAGAAAGTATGGGTTTACATGCAAAAAACGGTTGATTCACAGGTTGTGCAGAATCTTATGGCCGGGGTTAAGGCCAAGGTGCAGGCATTTGCATATGGACTGTAAATAAAATACGAGTAAAATGGTAAAATGAAGTTTAATAGTTATTTCTCAATCCCTGAAAATTTGATGGCAATCGGATGAAAACTCGAATTTTGCGAATCAATTTTGTGTGTGGCAATTTCATCGTGGACACCCTTTATAAGCGGTTAAGTCGTCTCTGTTTTCAACGCTATCAAAGGAGGATTCAACGGCGGCTAAAATCACACCCGAAATCCTTCTGGAACTTCGTAAATGAGCAACGCAGGGAAGTCGGCTTACCCTCTTCCATGATGTTCAATGGTGAAACTGCTGGCAATCAACAAGACATTTGCAACCTGTTCTCATTCTCAGCCAAATTTGCTAGTGTGTTTGAAGACGAGCAACTCTCCGCTAATCTCATTACTTCCGCGGCCAGTAATGTTCCTTTGGCCAACCAAACGATCAGCATGGTCGAAGCCACTACAGATACGATTTATAGAGCAGAATCTAAACTTAAGGCTTCATCTATGGCTGGACCCGATGGTGTTCCGTCGATTATTCTTAACTTGTCTTTTAGATCCACTGCACCGCATATTCCAGCTCTCTCTTTCCAGCGGCATCTTTCCGTCTTGCTGGAAGACTGCGGATATGTTTCCTAAAAAGGGAAGCAAACGCGACGTAAACAGCTACCGGGGAATCAAGTCGCTGAGTGCTGTATCAAAACTTTTTGAAATGGTTGTCATAGAGTCTCTAAATGCACATTGCAAGCAATATCTAAGTATGGATCAACACGGATTCATAACTGGGCGTTCCACAACTACGAACCTGCTGTGCCTAACGTCTTACATCACAGACAGTTTGATTGCTTGGACCCAAACGGACGTTATCTACACAAATGTTACGGCAGCCTTCGATAAGCTGAACCACGAAATTGCGATCGCTAAGCTTGATAGGCTAGGGATCGGTGGAAATCTTTTGAGATGGTTTCGTTCATACCTCACGGAGCGCCAATTGACAGTAACTTTGGGTACTTGTCGCTCAGCAAGCTTCTGCGCAAAGTCCGGTATACCTCCAGGGTAGCCATCTGGGACCATTGGTGTTTCTCCTTTACTTCGACGACGTTCACCATATTATCACAGGGCCACGATTGTCGTTTGCGGACGATCTGAAAGTTGTTCTGCGCATCCGCTCACTCACCGACTGCCGCTCTCTCCAAAATCAGATTGACATCTGGTGTAGTCTAAACCGACTGGTGGTCAACCCAGCTAAGTGTACAGTCATTACTTTCTCACGCAAGAAACAACCGATTATTTTCAACTACAAACTACTAGGCACGACTATCGAACGGGTGCATTGCGTGAAAGACTTAGACGTTTTTCTAAACTCAACGCTGACATATTTACTCACACCATATATCGTATGTCGTCAACAAAGCGTCCAGAACTCTTGGCTTTGTCTTCAAGATTACTAAGAACTTCACAGAAATTTACTACTTGAAATCGCTCTATTGCTTTCTCGCACGATCTACGTTGGAATACTGCTCTGCAGTCAAGAGACCGAACTACAATAATGAGGCCGAGCGAATTGAATCTGTGGAACGACGTTTTCTTCGCTTCACGCTTGGAGATACCCACTCCGTCTTCCAAGCTACGACAATCGCTGCCAATTGATCAATGTCGAGCCCTTACGTATCCGAAGAGATGTTTTCAGAGCCTTAACCGTCGCCGATACTCTGCAAGGAAGAATCGACTGCGAAGCAATTCTGCAACAATTAATGTTCAACCTCGATCACTACGCAACAGTCTTATGCTGAGACTTCCACTTCTTCGAGCTAATTATAGCTTAGGGAGCGCTATTTACGGCTTGCAGCGAGTGTTCAACCGAGTAGCGTCGATGTTCGATTTCCACTTGACGCGGAATATGCTTCGCCGAAGATTCTCTGCCTTTTTTGCTGACCGAAGGCGCTTGACACCCAACAGCTAAGTGTAAAATTTAAGACTAGTAACTTGACAATGCTTTCCTAGTTATTTTCGTTTGTAACTGTAGTATATGTAGTCTGTATAATCTGTTCCTTTTTTACAGCTTCTTCTTCTTCTTCTTCTCTTGCTTTTGATGGGACCGGTGTCAGTGACCATATGCCCAGTGGTTTTGTCTATCAGCGTCAATCCGGAGAACGGCACCACATTCGAAAAATGGTTTGCCCGTTACTCGGATTTGTTTGAAAGCGACGCACGAAGTCTGGACGACGCTGCAAAAGTTAGGCTTCTGCTCCGGAAGTTGGACACGTCCTCTCACAGTCGCTACGCCAACTACATCCTTCCGAAACTACCAAAGGACGTCACGTTTGCCGATACCGTCAAGTCACTCACAAAGATCTTCGGCAGACAGACCTCCGTATTCAACAAACGCTAAGAGTGCATGCAGCTACTCAAGTCCGAGGCCGACGACATAATTACCTATGGCGGAAAAGTCAACAGGGCATGTGAAGAGTTCGAGTTCCAGAATTTGAAGATTGATCACTTCAAGTGCTTGATTTTCGTCTGTGGTCCCAAAGCACCACGCTATGCGGACATTCGAGCAAGGCTTCTATCCCGGATTGAAGGTGAAACGGCTGATGCTCCGGTGACAATTCAAACTCTAATCGACGAGTTCCAGCGGCTCGTCAACATCAAGTCGGACACTACGATGATCGAACATCCATCAAGTTCGAAGAATTCGGTCCATAGCATTTCGGAGAAGAAACCCAGAAACCAGCATCGTCCACTGAAAACTGAAAGCAAGTCCACTCCTCGTACTCCATGCTGGCAGTGTGGTCAGATGCACTACGTCCGTGACTGTCAATTTTCTGATCATCTCTGCAAGGTATGTAACCGCATCGGTCATAAAGAAGGCTACTGTAGCTGCATCAAGAAGTCTTCAAGCGACTCTTCAACTCAACCTCGAGAGAAGAAGCAGTTCCAGAAGAAGGCCGGTCCCAGATATCAAGCCAAGGGAATTTTCGTGAAGCACATCGCAAACAGCAACCGGAAACGCAAGTATGTGACCATCAACATCAACGGTGTCACAACTGGATTCTGCAAGTGATATCACGGTGATTTCCAAGAAAACTTGGCAGCAACTGAGACGACCAAAGCTAACTCCATCATCGATCGAAGCCTCCAACGCATCTGGTGGACCACTCGCTCTCATCGGAGAATTCCATTGTGAAGCAGTCCTCAATGACATGGTCAAGCGTGGTCAGTGTTTCGTAACGTCATCACTAGATCTCAACGTAATGGGTATTGATTGGATCGACATGTTCAACCTGTGGTCGGTTCCGTTCGATACTCTCTGCAATCAAGTTTCTGCTGTATCCAGACCATGTTTCGCCGAAGCTAGAGCACAGCTGCAAGCCGAGCATCCGGCAGTTTTCGACGACTCTCTGGGCCACTGCAAGAAAACCAAGGTAAAGTTATTCCTCAAACCTAACGCCAAACCAGTTTTCTGTTCAAAGCGACCAGTTCCGTTCAACACGATTCCGCTGGTGCATGCAGAATTAACACGTCTTCAGTCTCTGGGAATCATCACGCTGATATGGTAAAGTTCGCATCTGTGCGGACTACTCCACGGGACTCAATGAAGCGCTTGAAGCAAACCACTATACCTACCCCGGAGGAGATCTTCGCACAGCTCAACGAAAGCACCATATTCAGCATCATCGACCTTTCCGATGCATACCTGCAAGTGGAAGTAGATGAAGAATCGAAGAAGCTCCTCACCATAAACACGCATCGAGGCCTCTTCCAATTCAACCGGCTCGCTCCAGGGGTGAAGGTAGCGCCTGGAACATTCCAAAGACTGGTTGACAGCATGATAGCCGACATTCCTGGTGTTCGGTCGTTTCTCGACGACGCTATCATCTTCGGAAGAACCTGGGAGGAACACAAGGCGTCACTAGACAAGCTACTACAACGTCTAGGGGAAAATGGGGTCCATGTCAAGCTGGAAAATTGTATTGGGGCCTGGATGACGTGTATTGGCTGAAATTCGAAGTCCAAATGCCATACAATACGGTTATTTTTGGACACAGGATGAATAATGGACGATTCCAACAATACACATATTGTAGGTTACAGTTTTTTTCCAATAACGAATGGCCTCCATCTTGGATTCTAAAATGGCAGCTGCCATCAATTTTTTACATCTGCATGTCATCGCTTTTCCGAAAATATCCACATTGCAGGGCATTTGTCGGTTTTTTTTAAATCGATGGCCACCATCTTGGATTTAAAAATGGCGGGCATCGATTTTCGGTCCGTTCGCCCCGTTCTGAAAATAACAATATTATAGAGTATTTAATTTATCTTGTCTTAAATAGGGAATTTTCAGTGACGGCAGTTGATGTTGATCATCGGAGATTATCGCTATTTCATATGATCATGATCTGTAACACAAATGATAATCGCATTATCGTTTTCAGAGCTGTCCATTGTGATTTTTGGCTTTGTATTGATCATGAGTGTAACAAAAATGAAAATGACATTATCTTTATCTGAATCGTTGATTTTGATTCCCAGGTTAAGGGGCATTGACGGAGAGAGATATACCGCTGCTAGGACAACTTTCAGGATTGGTACGTATATTGCCACACACTGACTTCCATCGCTGGTCGTAGGTATGGAAATGGGCTGGAAACCGTAGTCTTTGTGAATATATGTGGCAGCACCGCCATATCCGTCATGTCTGGAGTTAAGTACTTTATTGTATCCGCTGATGTTGTATATTCTGGAGTTTTCGTTTTCTGCTTTTGACCAAATTTCGGAAAGGAGGGCCGCTGTGTACGACCCAGTCATCAATGATCTTTGTAGTTCTTCTTTGTGTTTGGAAACGCTTTGTATGTTACACTGAAGTAGTTTTATCCCTTTTATCCTACTATCCATAATTAATCTTGGAAAGATTAATGAGTCTAATTTTTATGAATAACATCAAAACTTAGACATTTTTTGCTTGTTTCGATAATGTTTTCTCTAGCTTGTCCTTTCAAATTCGTATCTGCGATGATGGCACTGTAGTAGTGCTGCAGTGCTTCTTGTATGGCGTGGATGATGGTTATTTTGGAGAGCGTGTCTTGTTGATTCTTCGCATCTTGCAATTTCAATTTCCACCGTTCGTGCTCGTCAGTTTTGTGCGGGTTATTCAATGCTGTTCCGTTGATTTCACTGGATGGTTCCTTCCTTTTGCGCTTTCTTGCTTCTTCTTCCCGATCCGGTTCGCGGGCGGGTGTGTTGACTTCTGGTTTCTTATTCCGGGTGTCTCGGGATGGTCCTTTGTTCGGGTTTCTGTTATTGCTTCTTCCTGCCATCGACGCGTAATCCAGAGATCCTTTATCGCCTGGTTTCGGTTGATCCATGAATTCGGCTAGTGCGTTGAAGCTGTTTGAAGTCGTGATAGAGAAGTATTCCTTGGCTTAGAAGAACGTCAAAGCTTTCGTTGCCATGATTGACTTGATATTGTTCTGGCGTTGGCGCTCGGGACAGTTTTCGTCGGTGGTACTGTACTCTATTTTGCAGTACAGGCAACAACGAGTTTTTTTGCATTCCTCGTATTCGTTGTTGGACTCATGGCGGTCTCCACAACCATGGCAGCGTCGAGCACTTCGGCAGTTTGCTGTTTTGTGTTTTAGTTTTACGAGCTCTGGTAGCTTGTTCGACCGGAACGTGACACTGACGCGGGTTGAGGGAATTTTTGCGTTGTTGACAAAGCGTTGGAAGCGATAAACGTCCGTAATCGGCACTAAGCTGTGTAGGTGTTGCATGATTTCTTCGGTCGTCAGATCAGTCGGGATCCCGGAGATAACTCCAGTTACTGATATCAGGTGGTTGGCCACATAAATTTTGACTGTACTCACTGCTGCAACAAGATCTCCTACGGCGTCGCGACGCTGGCGTTGGCCCACACGGCTGCTCCTGCACTACCGTGTGGCCGGAAACTTACGGCGCGGGCTGTAAACAGCGGATCTGGTGGTGTTCATCAGCGAAATACGGCTCAGCAGGCGTTGCTGGCTCGTTTGGCTGGCAGGCGTCATCCGTCGTTGACGACATCGACTGATGGGGCGATGGGGCTTGTGGATTGGAATAACTTTAGCTAACTTCCAACACACAGGGAAGTAGCCAAGCACCAAACACTTATTGAAGGCCACTACAAGGTGCTCGAAGAAGTCAACACTCAAGTTTTCCAACTCGAGGTTGACCATTCCATCGACACCAGCGGCTTTCATATTCTTGATTGATTTAATGGCTGCTATCACCTCATCAGCCGATATTCTACTTTCGTCAGGGACAACTACGGGAGTGGCAGCGACTCTAGACATTGCCTCCGATATTGCAGACTGACCGCAGTGTGGTCCGTTCTACGGGTTTAAGAAATTCTACGAATTCTAAAAATCATCACTCTCATCACATTAAAAAAAGAAGTTACTTTTTGAATGATTGTTTTTGGAAAATGGTCATTCAATTTAGCAATAATTAACGCAATGAAAACAAATTTACCTATCTATCGATCGTACTCCATGAAAAATTAACAACACACTCACCATGCTTTGGCCTTTTCAACTGTCAAGGTACAGAGTATTATTCACCTGTCTCGATACTGGCCCGGGAAATCGCTTAACCGTTGGAGCGCAGACACCGGTTGATTCCGGTTAGACGTCATATTCGATACTGGTGTCAACGCAGCGTTGGAACTGCGCCCAGCCGGCACGGCGCGGTGATAGTTGCGTCGGGAAGCTTCGAATTGGAAACCCACTTCAGCCACCACCGGATAGTGGTCCGAGCTGAGTTCTTGGTAACTCAAAATGTTTTACTGCGCTTCCTGCAGGTCATTGTACAGGATGGTGCCATTTTGGTTGCGCCGACTGTTGCCCCACGCTTGATGTTTGGCGTTCAGGTCGCCAGCGATGATGAAGTTTTCCCGCCGTCGTGTTAGCTTGACAATATCTCTTTGCAGGTCGCCTGTCGACCCGTCCCTGATGTAAACCTGCTGTCGTGATGGAAAGCTTCAAGCGATGATAAAGAAGGATGACGAGGTTATTGGAGTAGCGCATCTACGAGTTAACTTATAAGAACAGGATTTAGATTTGGACATGAAAGGAGCTACCGCAAATATATGCACATCGGACGCTGGAAACCTCTGGTATCGTCGCCAGTCAGACCACGATGAACACGTTGGTCCGGTACAATATGGCAGAAGGATTCGGTCCGCAGGTCAACACTGTTGGATTCTACGACACTTGCGTACTTGGCAAGCAGTGTAGAGAACCCTTCGATGGAACTCGTAGCCCGGAAGCTGCCGGAAGTGCACCTTGACGTAAGTCTCATCATCCATGATGAGACAATGAGGCTTCGTCAGCATTTGGGTGTACAGTTTCCGGGACCGTGACTTTCCCGCCGTATTTTGCCGTTCGTCACGATTTGGAGCCTTCTGCACTTTGTACGTATGCAGTCCCTTCCGGTCATTGGCTCTCCGAACGAAAGACTTGGACAGATTCATCTTTTTGGTCACATCCCTGACCGAAGCATTGGGATTCCGCTTAAACGCGTTCACGACACGCTTGTGATCCTGATCACTAATAGAACATCCATTCTGACCACATTTCTCCTTCCGTTCGAAGCTCAGAGTTTCGTAGTAACGTTTAATCACATGACTCATAGTTGACTGCACGATTCTGAGTTGTTTTCCGATGTCCTGATGAGAGAGTTGAGGATTTTCCAGGTGCTTGCGCAAAATCAATTGGCGTTGACGGCGACTCTGTAGCTCTTTACTCCTATGAGAAAATCCATAAGCAAACGTCAGACTGTGCGTGAAACATGGCGGACTTTGTACTATCCTTTCACTCCACCGAAAATTCCCATAGGAAACTGTCTACATTTGCTGGAAGAGCAAATTTTTCGACAGTGCCGTCAACGCCAATTAGCGACTTTCTGACAACTGACAACGATAAAAAATACAGTGTAAACAATACACTCTAAACTACTTCTACCCAAATTGTCAAGAGAAAATACCCAGCGTTTTTTTTTCCGTGATGCAATTTGAAAGGGGATTCAAAT